TTGCCCCTCTCCTGTTTCTCTTACAGAAAAATGACAGAGCGTCCAGGGTGGGGCTTCGAGCCCAAGTGCCCCCGTGGGGTTGTCCACCACGGCTGAGCGCCACCCTGGCCCCTGCAGACAGCCCGTGGCTGAAACGCCTCGCGGAGGCACGAACAAGCTCAGGGCACTGAGGGCGGATGGACCCTCCAGGAGAAGGAGCGTGTACATGGCGGCCTCTGCAGGGTGAGAGCCCGGGTGCTAGCTGGGTGTCGTGTGCTGCCTTTGAGAGGGGCCAGGGGGTGAGGGGGGGCCGTCCCTGCAGGCAGCCCCCCTCCCCCACCATGCTCCGATTTCCGGGGGCAGCTGGCTCTTTCCCTCGTGGCCGATGACGTTGACAGCAAGTTGCTGCCCCCCACCCCCACTCAGGAGGCACCTTGGGTGCCCAGGGCCAAGTGGGGGCAGGGGCTCTGCTGGGAACACGGCGCTGGGGCAGCACCAAGAGCTGGGGAGCCCCCCTGGTCAGCCTGGGCTGCTGTAGCGACATGCCACAGACAACACACATCTACTTGTCACGGTTCTGGGGCTAAACGTCCCAAATCAAGGGGCCGGCCAGTTCTGTTCCTGGAGGGAGCTTTCTTCGTGGTTTGGAGATGGCTGCCTTCTCACTGTGTCCTCACAGGGCAGAGAGAGGGAGGGACAGAGAGGGACAGGAAGGAGGGGGGAAGAGGAGGAGAGGGGAGGGTGGAAAGGAGGGGAGGGCAGGGCAGGGAGCCCTAGCCCTCAGCAGCCTCTTCTTATAAGGCCACTAATCCCCTGACTTGAGCCCCACCCTCATGACCTGTCTCCCAAAGGCCCTGCCTCCTAACAGTGGCACCCCAGCGGAATTGGGTTTCAGCACAAGAATTCTGGTGTGGGGGGCGGCAGGGGCGGGGGGCAGGGAGGCCCAAACAGTGGCGCCCAGAAGCTCTCTACCAGCCTGCAGGCATGTGATGTGTGTGTGTCAGCACCTGCTGTGGACTTCATGAAAGGACCCACACCTGGGCCCCCCTGAGCTCGGGTTCCCCTAGACGTGAGGCGAGGCTGAGAAGACCCAGGTTAGGATTAACCCGTGACCGGGTCTCAGGAGGTGCCCGGCTGGGGACTGTCCTCCCAGTTCGGTGTTAGATCACTAGACAAAGAGGGGGGGAGCCTCTGCAGAGAAGGAGACAGGGAGGAGGTGGGCAGGAGAAGCACGAGACGTCATATCCCTCCCCAAGCCAGCCTCGCGGCCTCAAATGGCCGAAAATAACCACAGTGCTCTCCAGGAGTGCCCACACACCCCTGCACAGCACGGTTCTCACAGCAGCCCTGAGCCAAGGGATTGTAACCATCAATGCACTCACAGATGGGGAAAGTGAGACAGAGAGGTGAAATACCTTGCCCAATGTCACGACACTGATAAATGGTGTTACTGAGATGAAACTTCGGATGGTCTGATCTCAGAGTTCCCGCCTGGGACCGCTAGAGCAGGGGAGCACAAGAGGAGAGAGGTACAGGCAGGCCCGGAGCCCCTGGAGAAGAAGCGGAGGGAAGGCTGGGCATGTTCGGAAGCTGAAGCCGTCTCCTAAAGCCAAGAAGCAAAGCTCCCAGAGCTCCTGCTCGGGTCGGTTGCCCCTCCAAGACACTCAAAGAGCGCCCAGCAAATGCACCTGCTCCAGGGGTCACATCTGCCCACGGGAACCTCTCCTGCAGGCCAGTGCCAGTGCTCAGCAGCGGAACGCAGTAGGTTCCAGCGAAGACACGCGTTGGGGAGGGAAGGCCAACACCGGGCTCGAAGACTTCTACGGGTTTCAGAATCCGGAAGGTGGGGCAAGCTACGTGAGTTCCCGTCGGGGTGGCTCTGGTTTTCCCGCAGCCAGATGCCCGTGCAGTGTAGGTGACGGCTCTTTCACGCGGTCCTTGGTTTCGGAAACTCGCAGCCAAACTGCCCCACCCCCCAGCTGCTCAAAGAACAGCCTCCAGATCAAAGTCTAAAATAACTAGCGGCCCTCCCAATAATTGAACATGCTGGGCATCCATCCCGAGCACTCCTGGCTGGCTGGACAGGCCGGCGGTGAGCGTGGTGCTGAGGCAGGCCCAGGGGACTTCCCGGAGGCGGCACCTCTGGGAACTGCCAGCTCTTCCCTCCCTGTGAGGAGATGAGAACGGGTGGCTTTGGAAGTGTTTGCAGCCGGGTGACGTCAGCGGCCCGTCCAACCCCTTCTTGACCACTGGGTATCACGAGGTCAGTAGCCCCCACAATTTCCGGGCAGTTAGGACACGGCAGCTGTAACCCACCATGGCTTCAAAGCTGGAGTCGTGTCATTATAACCCTAATCTATCAAGATACATGGTGAAAACTGACCTCTGACGAGGGACCGGAGGTGAATGCAGTGCACCACGTGCATTAATTCGGGTAAAACTTAAAAAGGAGCAGCCTACACCCGGTGAACGTCCTCCTCCGTGAGGACACAGCTCACAGAGTCTTCTCTCCCCCGAGTGTTATTCAAACACAGAAACCACATACGGAGCCCCCTTCTCTGCAAGGGGGGTGGTTGCTCAACCAGATAAGCAACACGGTCTCACTTGGCACATTAAAAACATCAAATCCTGGGGGGCCCTGGGTGGCTCCGTCGGTTGAACAGCCAACTCTAGATTTCGGCTCAAGTCGTGATCCCAGGGTTGCGAGATGAAGCCCTGCGTCGGGCTCTGCACGAGCCTGGAGTCTGCTCGAGATTCCCCCCCCCCGACCCCCCCGGCTCCCTCTGCCCCTCCCCCGCTCGCATGGGCTCTCTCTACAATATAAAAATATATATCAAATACAGTGTTTGTTCATTGTGTTCTATAAAAGTGTTATTTTGCAAGGGTTTGAGGTTTTTTTCAAAAACCAAAACAAAGTGTGAGAGAGACAGAGAGGGAGGGGAAGGGAGAGACACCGAGTGGTCAGACACAGGGGAAAGGGGTGAAACTGCTCCTTTTCAGCAATGACAACCCCACTGCGTTGGGAAATTACACGTTGCGCAGTCTCCATGATAAACAAAAACATGTGCTTCCATTTTGGTCTAAATGAAAACGAACATTTTCCCTTTCCCGAGCCAGCTCTGCTGCCCAGCCAGGGGGCTAGGAGCCAACGCTAATGAAGGGCTGTGATGCCAGGGTCAACCCGCGGGAGACCCCTCTGCTGTCACAGTGCGACAGCCAACTGTTTTAGGAGCACGGCCTGCAAGCCCCCTGCCCCTCCCTCGCCCTTCATCTCACACCCAGTTTCACGGAAGCCTCGCTCAGAGACAGACCCTGAGCCTCCGGTTGGCACGCTTCAGTGAGACCCTCACGGCTGCAGGAAGCCACTGCACAGAGCGCAGCCCTGGAGAGACAGGAGCCTCTGTTCCGTAGACAAACTCTCTTTTCCTTTAGAAACTGCTAGCTCAAGGCCCGCGCATCAAACTTTAGTTTTAATGTATTTCTGCCACGGAAGTGACAGCCGTGGGGTTTTCCTTCCTGCCAAAGGCTACAAAGGCAGAATGAGTCGTTCACACACACGATTAGAGGGCCCTTGAGGAAACTGAGTCATGTGAGAAAATGCCAGGGGTGACGGATGGGGGGCAGGACTGCAGGTGACCATGGCGACCAGACAGAAGTGCTCAGAGGTGGGAACCCAGACCCGGTGGGGCCTGCGCTGTCTCTGCCCCGCCCCTCACACCGTTCCATGAGCCCGGGGTGCAGCCTGGAGAAATGCATCCAAATGAACACAAGCAGGAAATTCCCCTTGGTCTGGACCAGGAAGGCACCGGGCAAGGAAATGAGAAAGGGCTTGAAATTTGTGCAGTTTGTCATTTTTTTTAAATTTCAGATTAATCCGTCCTCTTTGATTTGTAAGCCATCAATACAATTTCCTTTTCCTCTCTCAGCGTCTTTCTTGATTTACCTTTAGGGACACCAGCTGGTCACTTGCGGAGCACCTGCTGTGTCCCAGGTGTCCAGTAGAAAGGAGTTCCCTCCCAGTGGCTGCCTGGCTGGCCCCCCACGGGTTCACCTGCCTGCCCAGCGAGGGACCACAGTGTGGTTCCCTCCGTCCCTCTTCTCTCAGGAAAGCCTCCCCGGGACCCTGCTGGAGGCACCTGCCAGCGTGCGGCATGGTGCCCGGGCCTCGGCGTTCGTGCCCTTGAGAGCAAGGCGCCCGCCTGTGACCCTGCCCGACGCCGACCGCGGCACTCGCTGTCCCCCACGTTCTCGGGGACAACACGACGCAGTCCAACCAGCCTGCATCTCCCGCGCCAAAGGCAGATGCACCGCGGCGGGCGGTAACGTGCTCCCTAACACAGGCTCCATAAAATCGACGGGCCCCTCAGGAGGAAAACGGCCATACGCTGTCCTGACACGTCCTCTCCTGACGGATTACGTTTGCGTTACAGATGCAACTTCTGTTTTGATTGTATTTTATTCCAAAACAAAGGCAGCCCTCTTGTCCCAGAGGGGACACCCCTTCCCCTGCCCCAGAGCCTCCCGCGCTCCCTGCTCAAGCTCGTTCAGGCAGGCACGTCCTCACGCACGCGTGCACACACTCACGTGAGCACTCCCGTGTGAACACGCACACTGGCTCGTGTGCACGCACGTGCACTTCTTTAAATGCGGGCACGTGTGCAGGCAGGACAGCTGGAAGCCCTGGCTCTCAGGTGAGCACAAGCACGATCCTCAGAGTGGGATTTGTGCTGTTTCCCGACGAAGAGGCCTCCAAGAGGAAACCGCTGTACCTGCCTCCCTCGTGTCACTTTTAAAGGGTGGCAGGTCAGAGGCCAGCGCGGTGGCCTCCATCAGGAGCGAATCAAGCCAGGATGGGACAGAAGGATGCACATGAGGGCAGCTGGCGTGCGGTGGGAAGGGCATCAGCGATTTCACATTTCAGAAGGACCACAGCGACACCTGCGCGTGCACTCATTTGCATAGAGGAAACGTCCCATCCTTGAACCAACATAGAGGGAAAGGACCCAAGGCCACGGGAGTGGCTACTTCTCTGCCTCCTGCAGTTCCCTCTGTGTGGCTTGAAGGAGGCGCTGAAGCTTCCAGAACACGTCAGGGGCGGCTCCCGGGGCGCTGCCGGAGGTGCCCCGAGGGTCTGCGCATTCCTGGACCGCATCCCGCAATTGTAGCTGAAGCGGGACGGAGACGGCCGAGGTCCTGAGACTGGAGGAGAACCAGTGGCGGAATATCTTGTCACAGACGACCTGAGGGGCAGGGGACAGAGTGGTTACTGCAGGCTGCGAACCAACCACGGAGGCTCCGCAGGCCCAAACAGACCGTGGCTCCTCCCATACAACCCCACCTGCCGAGGGAGGCGTCTTCCCACACAGATGGTCTGATAGTAAAAGTGCCTTCCCTTCTGGAACTTGAACCACTCGGCACCGGGAACAAGGTCCCCCTCCCAGCCTCAACGCAGATGGGGAAGGGTCCCTGTCATCGAGTACACTTCCGAAGACAAAGGGGAGCAGAAAGTCCTGGGCGGCCAGTGCTGCGTAAGGAGCATCCCCTCGGCTGTGTGGCCGCATCGCTGAGGTTGGGCTTTCTCGTGCATATTTGGTCACCGTAACAAGCGACGACCCAGGGTTGTCCCAAGGGTCCAGTGACATGTGGGGAGAAGTAGTCAGCAAACATGATACACTCACGGAGAGAAGGCTGTACTAGAAGGGACTTTGAATCATTTTACTTCAGAAGCAGAAATGAAAATCAAGCCACCATCCCCTAGGGTATGAAATTCACTGATGCCGGAGATCTCCTCCAACCTTCCACTTCCACATGCTCCTGTTTCTAGAGCTTTCACAGGCTCCTCCTGCTGGGAGGGCTCCACCAAGAGGGGCGGGATTAATGTGCTTTATCTTTCTGTATCACACCGTTTGGGACTCATTGAGCAGAGGCCTCAGTGTTGTAGTTCTACTCTTCATAGAAGACACGGAACTTTAACTTCTGAGGAACCTTTTTTTT